ATTCTATGCGACATTTGCGCCGACAAATTAATACAATAGTAAATTATATACCAAATTAGAAGTAATTTTTTTTAAAATTGAAATAAACATAAATGAGTCGTAGTTGAGAGTTCTTATGCAGTTGCTTCTTTAAAAGATTTAAAGATAAATTATGTATGTGTCATGTATGTATGTATGTATATATGTATATATGAATGAATGTATGTATGTATGTATGTATGTATGTGTATATATGTATGTATGTATGTATGTATGTATGTATGTATGTATGTGTAGTATATCTGTTTGTTCGCTCAACAGATTAAAGTTTAATTATATCTGAATGGATTTAATTCAACAAAAACGATAACAATGAAATGCTTTTATATGTTTAGTTCTTTTCTTACCTTTTATTTTATTTTTTCTTTTTTTTTTCAAAAATTAAAAAAATAAAGTTTTAAAAAATGACAAATATATTAATATATTGACATATTTAAATTCATTTCAAGTACGATAATGTTTATAAATTATTGATTTGATTTAAATTTACTTGATGAATTTTCCTTTCTTCTAAAATTTTAATCTGAAAAAAAGAAATAAGCGAAAGATTCGAAGCGTTATTGTAGGCGTCTTTTTTTTTGTTTTTATTTTGTTAAATTAAATTCTTTGAAATGCACTTTGAAAATTTGAAAATTTTGAAATTTGAACACACGTTGAATTTAATTCAATTATTACGAATTTCTTTTTCCTTTTTAAAATCATCATTGATTGGGTCAGTTTATCAAAATATTTCATTTGATAAATTATTTCAATTTTGAATTAATATATTCAAATTTCGAATATTTCAATTTTGCAATGGTATAATACACTTTCCACTTTCTGAATTCTCTAAATTTATATAAATCATTGTAATAATAAATACCAGTACCATTAACGTATTTGCTTTAATTCAAATTAAAATAAATTATTTACTGATAAATAGATTTCTTATCAGTTCTTATCCTAGCAATGTTAATTTAGTTTTCCAACTTTTTTTTTCCTTTGTTCCAAAATCAATAACATTCAAAAAATTGTATTATATTAAACTTTTAATTTTCATAGGCTCTTTTTTGTTGGCCGAAATTATACATTTTATAAAAACAAAAAATATATTTGTTCATATATTGCCAAAAAAAAAGCCAAGTAGCCCAAAGGTTATTTTGATATAGCCAAAATATCAAATTAAGCTTCTTCTACCACTTACTTATCCTGCCTTCTGTTTGTTCAATTTTTCATTTTAACATCGTAAAGATGATACTATTCAATGGGTCTGTGTATGTGTCTGTCTGTCTGTTTGCCTTTGTGTACATATATGTAAATATATGTGGTGTACATTCTTTTATCTCCTTATTACTTGAATATGTTGTTCTTTCCGTAAGAAAAAAAAAAAAAGAAAAAAATAGATAGGAAAACAAGCTTCTATGAAAGTTTTGATAAAAAAAAAAAAGAAGCAGTTGACATAATAAATAACAAATCGATAAATGAAGAGATAAAATCAATCGATCAGACATATATATATATATATATATATATACCTGTTTTTTGACTCATTTCAAGGTATATCTAAACTATACATTCACATCATAGTTCATTTCTAATTTCTTACAAAAAAAAAATTTTTTTTCTCTCTTTTCTCTCTCATTTGATTTGATCTGATCAATTGATAAACTTTTTTTCCCTCTCATTTTATCATCTTATCACTACTTATATCAATAACAACATTTCTTGTCTTTGCGATTACTTTCTTACTTTTCATTAATTTTCTATCATTCATAAAACTTTTGTTATTGTTTAACAATAAGAAATACTTTTAATAATAACTCTTATTCTTTTGTATTTCATTTCCAGTTTATAAATTCTA